GCTTTAACCCTTCTTGGGCATTATAAAATTGAATTTCATCTCCTTTGAGCATAGCTTTTAAAGTCACCTCTTTTTGTAGCCCCTGTCCCCTGACCTGAGCGTCTGTGATTTAGTGCCTCTCTCTTATTGCATTGTCCTGTTTTCCTCTTTGGTGCAGCTGTCCTCTTGCTTACTGTGTGAACAGAAAACTTTCCTTAGCCATCCTCCTTTTCCTGCCTCATGGACATAATTTGTTATTGTGTTTCAAAACTTTCAACTTCAACTGATTTTTATTTTTTTATTTTCCTGAAGTATTCAATTATCAGATGTATTTGCATGCCCTACTTGCTGGCCTCTGTAGTGCTTGTTTTGCAGTGTGGTCTAAGCATTTTTTCCCCCATTCTCATCTCAATTTTAAGTTCAAAGCTTGCACGGAGTGTTTTGCAAATGTGTTCTTTGTATTGTGTGATCATGCTGTGAGCATGTTGTATGTGCCAATGCCTGCAGGTGTCTAACTGTTCAATTTCTGGGCTATTTTTCTTTTACGGCTTCTCATCCTTTTTTCATTCCCACTTTTGGTATTTTATTCATTCTAGTTCTTCTAAAGGATGTGAAACTTAAACAAAGCTGTTTCCAAGTTATTAATAGGTCTGAGAAAAGTTCCACTGAGGACAGCAATGCAAAACTTGCTTCTAAGTTAGATATGGATTATTTATGACATCGGTTCTCTATCTTGGAAGGATAGGACTCAGAATCCAGAATGTATAATCAAAGTTGCCAGGGAAGCTTTTGCAAAATTCATGTGTCCCCTTTCTGTCCCCACCATTTGCCTTGGGGGTGGGAGATTGTTGAGAAACCTTCCTAAAATGTTCATTCTCGGGTTGAAAAACACTCATCCCCAGTCTTCAGTCAGTTAGTTACATTATAGCATTTCTCCCTTATCTTCAGGGTATGTCCTAAGACCTGTGTGCATACCTGGAGCCACAGACAGTTCTGAACTCTATATACATATTTTCCTATGAACACATACCTATGGTGAGCTTTATAAATTAGGCAAGTTAGATAGCACCAGTAACTCATACTTGTAATCCTAGTTACTCAGGAGGCTGAGATCTGAGATTGCAGTTTGAAAATTGCCCAGGCAAAAATGTTTGTGAGATTCCTATCTCCAGTTAGCCAACCAACAGCTGAAAACAGAGCTGTTGTTTAAGTGGGAGAGCACTAACCTTGAGCAAAAAGCCACATGAGAGCTCAAGGCCTTGATTTCATGGCCAAGTACTAGCTCGCACGTGTGTGTGCGCGCGCGCACACACACACACACACACACACATAAGTAATAGATTAAGAGCAACTAATTATGAAATAGAAAAAATTACAATACTATGCTGTAGTAAGGTATTTTAGTTGTATGAATTTTTTTAGTCTGGAGTTTTCCATTTAATATTTTTTGGCTTCAGTTTATCATAGGTAATAGAAGCTATCAATAAGAGAAAAGACAGTAATCCAGTCTGCCAATGTCATGTTTATTTAAGAATTGGTTATTTATTTTGTTGTCAGAGCATAAAATTATTATATTTTGGAAAATGAAATAAAAACTGGAATTAATGTAAGGATTTATTTATGTGTCTCAAGGAATTTTCAAATTAAGAGACAAATACTACAACTTCGGTGATTTATAAGTGTACTTAACAGTTATGACATAATTATGTACTCAGGCTGCCATAGATTGGATGAATTTCAGAATGCTCAAAGGAGAAAATGCAAATTTAATAACTGAATAGTAAAGTTATTAATAGTATTTGTAGGAAATATTTTAAGAATAAGCAGAATGGAAATGGGGGGGTGAAACTTAGAAAAACTATGTTTGAATTTTTTTTTTATTGTGAGAATACCATACAGAGGAGTTACAATTACATGGGCAAGATAACGAGTACATTTCTTATCAAGCATTGTTGCCTCCTCTTTGTTTCTCCTTCCCATCCCTTCCCATACACCCTCCCCTCCCCACACCTGATTTGAATTTGTTTTTTGACACAAACTAACTCTCTTGGACCAGTGGTTATTTCTATGGGACCTCAGTTTTATTGTCTGTACAATGGGAATGATCTCTATCTTAAGATTTGTTGTGAGGATTTAACAGAGTGTGAGAGGACCCAATATCTGATTATCTAAGAAGTGTCAACAGAGCTGCATATGTGACTCTAGATTGCACACATCTGTGACTGTATGTGGAGAGAATTGAATCTAGTGTCTTACATTGTGGGTGGAGGGAAATTATGGAGTATGAACGTGTGTTTGTATGTTTGTGAGCACACATTTCTGAAAATATCATTGAAAATTATACTTGGGTTTTATTTCTTAGGGATTTCCCAAAACCATATGCACAAGCTTAAAAAGTGTGGAGTTTATTTGGTGTGCATATAGTCATGGTGGAATTCTTCCCACCCTCCTATTTTCTTTTTGATGGGCCTGTTTTGGAGGCTACTTAATTTTATCAAGACTAATCACCTAACAGTTGCAAACACTCCTATGTACATTTTTCCTTCCAAAGGAAAACTAACTATTAGTTAAAGTATGTTTTTATGCCCCCGAGTATTAGTCAAAGTATTACGTTTTTATGCCCATATCCAAAAGTGCTTTATTATCAAATGTGAAATTTTTAGACAAATCATTTAATAATATGAATCACTGAGTATATATTACGTCAAGTGCTTTGTGTACCTCATCAATAACTTTAAAGCAAAATATAAAATAAATGGTATGCAGTTCGATGAATAAGGAAATTGAATCTAAATCAGAGACCTACTGAGAAAGAGAACTAGAAACCAGCATCAGTGGCACATGCCTGTAATCTCAGCTGCTTGGGAGGTTGAAGTAGGAAGATTTCAAGTTTGTGGTTAATCAGATATTGTCTCAAAGAGAGATAGCATGGTATAAGTTGCTGCCAAATAACTAGTAAAATCATAGGAATGTGTCTTAAGGTATAAAATAAACCCAGCAGGGGGTGCTCTGGGTATTCGAGAAGGTAGAAGCCTTCAGGACAATGACCTACTTCCAAATGGTTGTCATTAATCTAGCCGAGGATCAACGGTAAAGCCCTTAAAACCTGTGGCTTTCTTTCCTTTTCCCCAAGCCTGTTTTATTTTTTTAATTTTTAAAAAATTTTCCCCTGTCATGTGATTTCTCCGTATTTCTCAGCTCCTCTTCTCCAGCCCAGTTCACCGCCCAGTTCCCACCCCAAATGCACCACATTGTGAGGATTAAATGAGTAATATCTGTGGAAGTTTAGTGCCTGATACCTAGAAAATAGCTAATAAGCGTTGGTTACTATTATATTCATTGTCAGCATTAATAGTAGTGTTAGTAGTGGTATGCCGTAGTGATTAATCCAAAGGTTTTCTGACATCCTTCTCAAGGACCTGATTGTTCCCTGTCCAAATCTGGTTTTGAGCAGTTCATTGCATTGGGTTCCAGGACATTTGGAAGGGAATTAAGGGGATGCTTGCTTCCATCATTCAAAGATTCCCAGAAACAGTTCTCCCTGTCCATATTACCTCCTTGGCATCAGCCTTGGAAACTGCCCACTCTCAAGTCACAGCCTTTTTGTCTGGCTTCTTCCTATTATCTGTGTGGAGCATTAATGGTTTGGGATTGACAGTAAACCTTTTGTGGGGGTTGGGGAGGCGTGATTATACTCTAGCTTATATCTGCCTGTCCCACTGTATGCTTCCTCCCTACTTCATCTGCAAAGGCCTCTCTAGTACCCTCCCCCTTCTCTTGTGTACTTTTTGATTTTCTTTTGTCTATTCCAGAACATGTATTGACTTTACCTTTTGCTTTTTAGGTTCTTTTCCCCACCAAATATTTATATTTGTTTATATTGTGGAAAAGGGTGTTAACAGATTTACGAGTTTGTAAAAGTTACTTGGAACCAGGGTTGGAGGACCTTGACTTATGTAGTGTTTGGGTTTTTTTTCCCTCCCACTTCCTTCTTTGACTTGCAGTTAGTTATCTCATCTAAAGGTGTTCAGCATTCACTTTCTTATTGAGCCCATGATAGAATCTGCAATCATTGTCATCTCTTCAAGCTTACTGTGTTAAAACTCTCTATTACACAGGTGATTTCTAGCTAATCTCTGCTCTTTAAAAAAGTAAAGATACAGAGGGGATAATTTAAGATTTAGGGGTTACTTTATCTTACACATCTTTTATAAGTAGTTTTTTGTTGCAGTCGTTATTATTCAGAAGTAATCTTCATGTTTTTCTAGAAAGTGGGAATTCTAGAAAGTAAATGAAAGAAAATAAATTTAACACCCAGAAATGACTGAAGTATAGTTATATTTTTTATACTTATCACTTCCATATAATTAATTAATATATAATACATTATATTTATGAGTTCATTTAGTAATTATACATTCATATAATTAGAGTATATAATTTATATAAAAACTGTAATTCATGCTAGATATTGTGTTAATTTTTTGGTATAAATTTGACAAAACAAACTAGAAAAAATCATTTCTCATAATAAAACATGCCTGTGCGGGGCTGGGAATGTGGCTTAGTGGTAGAGTGCTTGCCTAGCATGCATGTGGCCCTGGGTTCGACTCCTCAGTACCATATGAACAGAAAAAGCCATAAGTGGTATTGTGGCTCAAGCAGTAGAGTACTAACCTTGAGCAAAAGAAGCTCAAGGACAGTGCCCAGGCCCTGAGTCTAAGCCCCAGGACTGGCAAAAATAAAAATAAAAAACAAAAAAAAATGTATGTGCAAATTATAAAAATATAGATATTAGAAAAGTTGATTATGAAAACATGGAGTCCTTCAATTATGCCGTTATCACTGTTAATATTTACAAGTAGTTACTTTCTACAAGTTTACACCTGATTAGATTTATCAAGTATTTATTGTGAAAGCATACCAAGGAGATGTTCTTTGCTTCTAGGCTTAGTCAAATATATGGTGAATCAGAATGTGTTTTGCCAAATAATATCTCAGTTTTTCTCTCTATGCTTTAGGTATGTGTTCTTTTTGGATCCTTGTAATCTGGACTTGATAAACCGGAAGATCAAGTCTGTAGCACTCTGTGTAGCAGCATGTCCAAGACAAGAATTGAAAACCTTGAGTGATGTCCAGAAGTTTGCAGAGATAAATGGTGAGATTCTAGGCCATTCAAACCTACACTCAACCATTCCCACTGTTAAATATTAACTATGTGTATTCTAGCATAAATTTGTTCTAGTATTTTATATGTCACCAAAGAACCTTTAAAAGAAGTGATTTTATATTTCCTAATTTAAAAATACTAGAATCAAACTAGGGAGCTTGTTTAAACTCTGGATTCTACAGAAATAGTGCTGTGCATTCAGAATGCACAGCACTATTTCTCCTGCTACTCAGAAGCTGAGGCAGGAGAATCACTTGAAATGAGTTCGGGAAGCCTTTGCAGCATACCAATATTTCATCTCAAAGAGAAGAAGAAAAATAATACTGCCACAGGCACCTGTGGCTCACACCTGCATTCCTAGCTACTCGGAGGCTAAGATATGAGGATTGTGGATTAAAGCCAACCTGGACTGGAAAGACTCTTATCTGTAATTAATCACCAAGAAGCAAGAAGTAGAGGTATGTCTCAAATGACAGAGCTCTGGCCTTCAGAAAACAAAACAAAACTCAGGGAGAGCCCCCAGGCCTTGGTGCAACCCCTAAGATGGGAACAACAAAAAGGAGTATTTCGCACCTTTACTCACAGAGCAAAACAAAATAAAGTGGCTGGATTTCTGCATCCCTCCAAAGAAGCTTTGACTGAGTATGTTTCTGGGCTCTAGATATTTACCTTTTTTTTTCTTAATATGTCAGGTGATTTTAAAATAGCCTATTGAAAGCTGGACATCTGTGGCTCATGCCTGTACTATAATCCTAGCTACTCAGGAGGCTGAGAGCTGAGGATGGCGGTTCAAAGCCAGCCCAGGCAGGAAAGTCTGTGAGACTCTCTCCAATTAACCACCAGAAAACCGGAAGTAGTGCTGCGGCTCAAGTGGTAGAGCACTCACCTGGAGCTGAAGAGCTGAGGGACAGCGCCCAGGCCCAGAGTTCAAGCCCCACAACTGACCAAAAATAATAAAATAAAAATAATATATATAGCCTATTGAATATTTTTGTTTTGTTTTTGTTTTGAGACAAGGTCTTGCTTTGGAGCTTAGGCTAGCCTTAAATTCTTTATCTTTTTTTTTTGGGGGGGGGGTCCAGTCGTGGGGCCTAAACTCTGGGCCTGGGCGCTGTCCCTCAGCTCTTCAGCTCAAGGCTAGCGCTCTACCACTTGAGCCACAGTGCCACTTCCAGGTTTTTTCTTTTTGCTTATGTGGTGCTGAGGAATCGAACCCAGGGCCTCATGCATGCAAGGCAAGCACTCTACCACTGAGCCACCTTCCCAGCCCCTCTTTATCTTTTCTTACCTCAGCCTCCTGAATTATTGAGATTGCAAGTGTATACCACCACACCTAGCTGCACTTTCCTGTCCAGGTTGGCTTTGAGCCACAGTCCTCATATCTCAGCCTCCAGAGTAGCTAGGAATGCAGGTGTGAGCCACAGATGCCTGGCAGTATTTTTTTTTCTCTCTCTTTGAGATGTAGTATGGAATGCTGCAAGGGCTGTCAAGTGATTCTCCTGCATCAGCTTCTGAGTGGCTGAGACTATGAATGCGCAGCACTATTTCTATAGAATCCAGAATAGGTGCGGAATATTTAGGAATTAGTCTATGCTATGTGAAATGTGCTGGGGGTTTTTTTGTTGTTGTTGTTGTTCCCCTCTTGCCTCTTAAAATGGTGTGTGTCTGTGTGTGTGAAATTTTTAAAGTTTGGGGGAAATATACCAAAGTAGAATAAAAATTCCATCATCAGCCATTTTCAATGTGTTGGTTGTTTATAATTTTGGGTTGTGCTTTCTAAAATGACTATTAAGGCATGACTGTTTATCTAAAAGTAGTGTTGAGAAACTCTGAAGTTCATTGTGTTAGAATTAGCTGAGAAAGTGGGCAGAGGCAGTTTCCTGAAGTCTAGCCCTGATCTTTTGAGATTCTCATATCTGACTTTTATCCTGAAATACATATTTTGCCTCAGCTTCTCTTCAGAGAGGGTCCTCATGTGGATGGTATGTCATGCCCATTCTTTGGAACTTCCTTGAAGTTTTATATTTTGTGTTTAGGACACCCAGGCCTGCCTCTGTCCTGCCCAAATGCAAGACTAATTCTGATTTCTAGGGATCTCTACCAGGTATAAGGTCTAGCTTTGTGTAGGAAACAGCCCAGGAACGTCTCTGCACACACCAGCATGGCCCTAGTCTTTCAGGTGGGATACTGGTCTGACAGCAGAAATGAGAGTACCATTCCGTGTCCTCAGCATGAGGAGTAGAGAGGGCATGGGTTAATGTAGCACTGGATTTCAATTATGATTCTATCATTGACTGGTCCTTTGATAAGAGGTAAAAGGTAAAGTTTTTCTGAACCTAGATTTCCTTATCAAAAAAAAAGTACATGGAAAAATAATACTTTTTCACAGTTTATGAGGATTGAATGAGATGTTGCATGAAGAATTCTGGGCATGTGGTGGCATTGAAGGAAGAGGTGCTGACTACTGCTCAATGTTGTGTTTTCTCTTCCCACATGATACCGCTATGTGTGCCTTACTAAGCTTTATTCTAGAGTTATCAGATTCATGAGGTTCCATAAGGAGAGATGAGTTGTTCTTTTGAAGTATTTCCAAAATCTTAGGCATGCCTGGTAGGTGATTTCGCTGAATGGTTAAGAGTATAGGCTGTGGACACTGGGCACTGGTGGCTCACACCTGAAATCCAAGCTGTACAGGAGGCTGAGATTTGAAGACCATAGTTCAAAGCCAACCCAGGCAGGAAAGTCCATGAGACTTGTATTTCCAAATAACTGCTAGAAAGCCAGAAGTAGAGGTGTCATCCAAATGATAAGAGCGCCAGCCTGGAGCAAAAAAGCTAAACGTCGGCTTCCAGGCCTGAGTCCCTGCCCCTGCACCAACACAAAAAGTTAAAAAAAAAAAAAGTGACTTGTTCAGACAAAATGTAGCTCCTTCTTCTTTAATAACCCTGAGCAAATTATTTGCCCTGTCCATGCCTCATTTTTCCCCATCTATGATAAAGGGATAATGTTTTATCTGATATTCCTCATGAAAATGGTTATCACAGGCAATATACGAGAAATGCTTATCATGGTGTCTGAGAAAGGATACATTTTTTAAAATGACGTTAGCTGCTACTATTATACCAGTATTGTACAATTGGCTTCCTACCTCCAATCTCTCTCTCCATCGCCTTTAGGATATAGCTGCCATATGGGTGTTCCCTGAGTTTTTAGTCAACATTAATTTGTTGCTGAGAAATAATTGGTAATGAATAAAAAGTGTCTATATGATCTGGAGGGCCAGTTTAGAGCTAGTTCCTTGTCCGCTCTGTTGCAGCTACCTTCCCCTGGGCACACTTTGTTTCAAGGCTAGAAGCTTTCTAAATGAATGTAATTCTGTGTGATCTACTCAGGTTTGCTTCAAGAAGTCCCTGCATGTGGCTTTTATAGCTTTTTATATCGCCTAATGTCTTGTAAAAATGATATGATTGACAAGTATTAATCAATAAACATTATTTCAGAAAACAGATTTCTTAAATTGGTGCCCAGCTACAAAAGCACTTTCAGGTTTTGGAGTCAGCTGTATACAAAGTAAGTCAATAAGATAGGTATTTAAAAAAAAATTAATGCAGTGTCAAGAAACACAACAATAGCTGTGTGTGATGGTGCAAGCCTGTAATCCAAGCCCTCTAAAGGCTGAAGAAGAAAGATGAGTTCTAGGCTAGCTTGGGCTATATAGTAAGACCCTATTTGGGGGATGGAGGGAGGAAAGAAGCATACACAGATACTAGAGCAAGAAATAACTTTAAAAGGCAAATCGAAAAGTCAAATTCTAAATGGAGAGGAAGCGTTTAGTATAAAGGCCTAACAATACCTTTTTTTCCCCCCTAACCCAGCACTCTCTCCCCCTCCCCCCGCCTCCTCCCCCACCTCTGCTTCTCTCACTTTTCTTCTTTTTTAAAAAAATTGATATTAGGTGATTGCATAAATTTCACATATTTCACAGTATTTTGGAATAATGATACTTGGTTAAAGTCGCAAACACATTTTAACCTTCACAACCTTTTTGAAAGCAACCATAAGTTGAAATTTCTGAGTTTCTTAAAAGAATCTATGAGGATCTGTGGACTGGTGACTTAAAACAGGGCTTGGTCGGATGTAATTCCAGTCGTAATTTTTTTTGTCCTCTTTTTGCACTTAGCACACATACCTTTTGGCTTTTATAACATCCTTATTATCGTCCTAAGCACACATTGACTAGGAAGGAACAGATAAATCTTTACTCCATCTATGTCCAATGGTAAAGTATTTCTGCTGTGAAATACAGACTTCTCCAGAGAGAAGTCTCTTGCAGAGATGATTCAGGATTGGGAGGGAATTTTTCAAATCTATAAAACAGAATGATTAGAAGACATGAAAGAGCCTGCACCTCAGAGCTAAAGTCATTAAACTCAGAGGACAACACAGAAAAGCTTCATAGCACTAGATTTTATAATAATTTCTTGAGTGGCATCAAATGACACCAAAAATAAAACATTTAAAATTTGAATCATATCAGAATTAAAACTTTTTCTTCACTCAAGGAGGACAAAATCAACAGAGCAGAAAAAAAAATCAAGCAATGGACTTGGAAAAATGCAAGTCATTCTCTCTCATGGTATTAGTATTCAGATCCTGGGACACTTCATCATTAAAAAAGAAAATCTCAAAGTGGTGGTGAGGCTGTAGAGAAACTGGAACCCTAACCTATTGTTGTGGGAATGTGAAAGAGTGCATGTTCCTTTAAAAGTTGAAAATAGCATGGTGCTTCACACCTGTCATCTTAGCTACTCAGGGCTCAAGATCACAGAAGTCAGTTGAGGCAGAAAAGTCCATGTGACTCCATCTCCAATTAACCAACAAAATGCCACACTGGAAGTGTGGTTCAAGTAGTAGAGCACCAGCCATGTACAAGAAAGCCATTAGAGGGCCCAAGGCCCTGAGTTTAATTTAAACCCTGTTCCCAGCAC